TTCCTTCCGAGGATCTCTTATGACATCCACCTCTAGCATTATGCAGGCTGCAGATCCCAGATGGAAGCTGTGGTTATTTTCCTTCCAATATACAGAAGCCCTTTTATCTCTCAGCTGCCAAAAGAGGCATGAGGATGATGACAGGAAAACGATCAGCAAGTCTTTACCAGTGACAGCCATCGAGACACAGCCATATGTAAGCCTCACTTCTGCTTCCTGCCCTTATCTGCCCATAAGCTGCTAAGTGACCATCTAATGAGCCTGAGCAGCTCCCCTGCTGAGGAACATCCCCCTCAGTGCCATATAGCCAGAACTGCTCAGATCTGCTGCAATCCCTGCCTGGCTCAGAACCTGGGGACAGTTCTGTCCCACCAGCCATCCCCAGTGAGTGACAAGGACTGTCAGACACATCCATGGGGCCCGTGCTGCTTATCACCTGCTAGTACAGGTCCTTCTGCTTCCTTCACGTGCACTGTGTTAGCACCAAGGGAGCCACATCAGAAGCTGCTTCTTAGCATTGCTAATAATCGTGCAAGAAACTCTTAATCTATTTTTAAATGATTGCTGAGTGCTCTGAAAGATGAAGGACTAGAACAAGAATATAACAAAAAACATAACATGGGGAAAAAAAACACATTTTCGAGGTCTTCTGAGACAAGCTCCAGGAAGGTTATGCAAAGTAGTATTCACATCCACTCCTGCGGATGTCCAGAGGTAATGCATAGCCCTGGAGATAATGTGCTGTCAGCTGTGGGGTAGATGTCTACAGTCCTGCCCAGGCAGTGTGATCCAGGAGCAAGAAGACTACCAGAATAAAGAGCAAGCAGTGTGCTATACTTAAACTCCACCATCACACCTTCCAGTAAGGGGACATGACTCTGCATTATCCTCACGCATCTTTAGATAGGGAGCAGGAGGCTTGTGTTTTGGTTTGTGTTTTTTTTTTTTGTTTGCTTTTTGCAGGGAGGAAAATAGAAGGCCATGGGACTTACTTAGCTCAACAAGGGTAAGCAGTTGGGCTGGGAGCAGAGCTGTGCACTAAACCCTTTGTAATGCCCAGATAAGACTAACAATTTCCCTTGCATGGGGTGGCAGCTTCTGTGTGACTGACTGGGATACGTGCTGAAACCACATCTGTGTAGCACACAAACAGCCACGCAGCACTTGGTGCCTACGCACAGTAGCTGGTTATCAGGTAGCCTGAAGCAAATTAAAGCCACGGACCTGTCTGAGCAAGGCTTCTTTTCCATGCCATCTAGTATACGTGCGATAAAATAAATGATGTATTTATTGTTTATTTTTGGTTTGTCACTGACAGAGCATAGTACTTAAACGTGGATGTGGTAAATTTCCTTCAGCTTTAAAGTGACAAAATGAAGCAGTCATTGTAGAAAAATTTGTCCTTCAAGTTCTTAGGACACAGTCCATTGCAGCCTGAGTCACTCACCATCATTGCAACACACACCTGTTGTCTATACCCTGGGTTGTCTTCTTATGGAAAATCTACCTCCTTAACAGCCTGGTGCAACACAACAATTAACAATATTTCTGCACTGGTAGGAATGTTCCCGTACAGTTTGAGGATGGAAACAGTTTTTTCCTGGGAATCCACTGTGCAGTTGCCAGAGGCTGCCAAGCTGAGCCTTGGTGTTATTTTAAGCCTTGTTCCCAGATGTAACAGCATTATGTTAACCAAAAGCCTTTCTTCTAGAAAGGAAGAAAACTATGCAAGCAGGATGGTGACTTTCAGAGAGAATTATTGTCATTGGTGTGAAATTAATCCAGGCTTTATTACAGCTGATGAATCCTATATACCTTGTATGTTCAAATCTATGTATTTTGTCTATTCTTTTTGCTAAAAAACAATACTTAATGCACATACCTCTGACAGCAGTGTGATGCCGAAATGCAGACGAATCCCTTGTTCATTCCTTGCACAGGACAAATTAGTAGGACCATCACCTGTACTGAAAGCCAAAGGCACACATGAGATTGTGCACACAGGTGATCTGTATGGTGTCAGACTGACACAGGGAAGGAGATCAAGTAGAACATGTAGATTTGATTCACCTGTGGCCAGGCAGCCAGCCTTCTGCACAGACCCAAATGACAGCCCCAAAGTTACTTCTCAGCTCACTGCCTTTTTGATGAGAACTCAGGTCCAGCCAGAGTACTCCAGCCACACAGAAGGAGCTGGGCAAAGGAAAAGCTGCTGTAACACTCCTATTGGTAAGACACACAACACATTATTGGTGCCCAAAGGCTTTCATGGTAGCTTGTCTCACCTCCCTCTGGTCCTGAAACTCCTCAACTCTTCTCGTACTGGATAGATATTACACAGCACTTACATCTTGAAGAGAGCATAAATATAAATTCAGGAAATTTTTTTGCATAAGTAGCAAATTATTACACCAAATTCCTAGGTTTTCTAGACACTGCTTTCAGTTTTGAGCTAGTCACTTTAAATTTTTATTTATTTATTTATTTATTAAGATCAATTCCATGTTTAATTGTAAGGGAAAGAATCTGTGATCAAGCAGCAGACAACAGATGATGTGATGGCTGTTGAAAAATGCTGAAAACTAAGTTGCTCTGAGGACATTTCAGAGTTAAGAATGGACAACACTGATTCCTCATCCATATCTCTAGACAGGAGGAGAATGATGGATACTGCCTGAAATTGCACTGTTCAAAGATATGTGCATAAATGAAGGAAAAAAGTGGCTGTCCCATCTTGCATGCAATTTGTGAAAGGAAAAAATACTTCAGGCTGAACCAGAACAGTGGTCTGCAAGAACAGTGTAGTCCTAATATCAGGGCTGCATGCAGCCAAGAAATTAGTTGGCAAACATCATTATGACCAACTGCTCCAGAGAAAGCATTCTGATTCACGGAAAACAAGCATGGAACATAAAGACAGAAAACTGCATTGGAGAGAAGAAAGCCAGTCATTAATGGTTTTGGGTCTCATCTGTCTGTAGTGGAAACACTGTGTATGGAAGGTGTAGAAATGGCTTCTTTCTCCATACACAGCAAAAGCTGAGGTTCTGAATCCCCAAGCAGCCATGAGAGCCTCCTGGGTCCTGTTCCTCCTAATACTCTTCATTGGCTCTGGTTGCATTTTATTACAGCAATGAACTACAGAACTAGACCAACACAAACCAAGACAATTATGAACTACACTGAAGTAGGCTTTGCCTATATTAATAGCACAATCATAGTTCTGCTCTACTTTATGATAGAGCAATATCAGTTGATCCAAACTCTTTCCACTACACTGGGATTTGTTGTTAAATTAACAAGGCCTTAACAGTAAGTCACAAGACATTTAACAAGGTTTCTCATTAAGTAGTAAAGAGACAGAAGTCCAAGCATGAGGATAAGTCTTATTAAGACGGTGATGTTTGTTATTGCCATGCTCACTCAGCATTTTCTCTAAAGCCTGGTATCAGACTTAAGGAGACTTCAACCTACCTGCAAACTTTTCATGGTAACAATTAATTAGGTTCTTGCTAAGCCTAACTTTAGTGGGACAGCTTCTCCCCTATATAACAATGGCCAAGCATGTCAAAATTTAATTAAAAACAGCAGAACAATGCTACTTTTATATGATACACAGCTACATCACATAGGAAAGATTAGGCTTGGTCTTGGAATGCTCCTAGAAGTAGCATCAAGGTATGTGGTGAGCTAGAACATCAGATTCTTTTAGAATAGAACCATATTATACCAAGTATTACAGAAGGTAGAAATTGTTTTAGTCCAAGGCATTCAAAATCTGGAGGGAAGATGACTAGAGAAAAGTCATTTCTCAAAGGAAATTATGAAACTTGTAGCACACAGTTATTCCTTAAAAGGATAAAATTACAAGGGCTGCTCCAAAAGTAATGCCTCCTATTGTATTATGTTGGCCCATGATGTCAGAGGTATGGCAGGTGGTATAGCAGTAAAGACTGAACCTTCCCATCAAGATTCCATTACATTTTGTTGCTGTGCTGGTAGCAGAGGGGCAGTCTGACAAAATGGTGTTTGACATGGAAGGGCATATGAAACAAAGGTGTGTCAATGAATTCCTCCCAACAGAAAAAATTGCACCCACTAACACTCATTTGATGTTTGCTGAATGTTTATTGAGACCAAGCAGTGGATGTGAGCACAGTAAGGTAGTAAATAGTGGTGGCAGTGGTCATCTCCAGTGGTGTAGATTTTTTTATTTTATTTTTTTAAATACAAATGAGGCATGCAGGCTCTTGTCCACTGCTAGCAAAAATGCACTGCTGCTGACTATGTTGAAAAACATAGCTGAGAATTTGCTCTACCAAATAGTGTTATTATGCTCTTAGTATCTGTTGTAGTTTCCATGGAAATAAATAGGAGGCATTACTTTCAGAGCAACCTACATAAGTAATGATGTCAGACAACAGCAAAGTCATAAGCCAAGACTCAAACACACAGGAATCAAAACCATGTCATCTTTCAATCTGGCAGCATATGAAAGAGTTTGAAAACTGGTTCAAGCAATAGTATCTTAATAAGGTGGCAAGGACAAAGGCATAGCAGCAGAAGTGAATCTAAACCATCTGCTAAATGTCATCATGCACAAAATGTGTTACTGCATTTGCTACAGATCTAGGCATTCAGACTCATCATCTGGCTGGGATACTAAATAAAGAGCACAAAAATCTTAAGCTAACAGAACAGAAATATTAACCTTAATAGAAGCAATTATATACCCCCGTTCAGAGCTAGATGTTAGCACAGATACCGTATGCCAAGACTGATAACAGACTGGGTAGATTTAGCACAGATTTCAAAACTCTAGGAAAGCCCAGGACTGGAACAGTTATCAGAACCAAGATGACTAACAAAGAAAAAAAAAACCTGTTGTGGCACTGGGAAGAAAATACATGCTCCTCAGAGCAAGGTAATGATACCGCTGTTCTAAGTATCTGTTCAAATTATCTAAAGCAAAAAGCTAAGAACTCAGGACCTAAAGACAATCACTTTTATAACAGTTTTATTCAAGTCTGTGTGCTCTAGTGTTGAGACAAGGCCTAGATCAGCATTACACTGTAATACAATAATTTTAGCCATTGAACCAAGCCTGCTTGGCATCCTTGGTTTACAATTTACAGTACATCCAAAAAAAAGCAAAGAGGAAAAAAAAATCCCAAAACGCCAACAACTTTCATTAGCTCTTTGCTTTGCTTAAATATTGTTCTATAACATAAAATAATTTAATACAATAAAAAAGAACTGTAATCCAAATACACATAATACATTGACACAGAACAGAGGAAAGATACAGTAGATTATGCACAAGAGTATTCAGTTGATGTGTTACCTACAGTGAAACAAACTGGACATTAATATAATTTAACTATTTAAGCCCAAGAGGGTCAGAGGCAACAAAGCCAGGTCACAAATAAAGCTTTTTAAAAAATAATGCAATCTTATTTTCCCCTAAGCTTACTGCTGTACAGAGGTTACAGGAAGGCTCCAACAAATCACTTCATTTGACAACATTTCATCACACAAACAAGAATAACCTTGGTGGCCTCTGTTATTTTACTCAACTTTGGGGTACATTACCATTTGCTAATGCAACTGCTTCATTGCAGGTTCTTCGGGCAAAACACACCTTCAGGTGCTACTTCCATAGTAACAGACTTTTGAACACCATGAACAGAAGACATAAGAGGTCTCCAAAAATGGACTGTAATACTTAAGTCATCAGATGAATCCCAGTCCTGCAGAGATTGGAGCTCCTTACAAAGTACCCAACACTTTCCACGCACGGATTTCAACACAAGCAGAAACTATCCCATACCTCAAAAAATTGGACATGGGCATACGATCTTACACTAGAGTCAACTACTCACCTGGTTCTTCAGATTTGACAACACTGTACCTAGGAAATTCAGGTCACTGTTTTTTGCAACTGGTTTTAAACAGAAGCAGGAACAGATCCACAATTAATAAGGCAAAAGAAAGATGTAGCTTATAAAAAGAGGGAGGAAATACATTCTCTGGCTGTGGAATTCAGACTTCCAAAGCCACAGAAGAGACAATGTTAAAATCACAGGTAGTTTCCCTGATTTTTCCACCACTACCGCCCCTCCCCACTCCATATAAGCCTCTCATCTGAAGTCAGGCAAAATATCTCCGATATTCCTGACATTCAGTTTGTTCTGAATTTATGACAAAGTCGTCATATATACCAGCACGAAGTGCTGGGCCAACAGCTGACAAGTAAGAATCCAAGAGCCCTAACAATAATAGTAGACACTGATCACTTCCAAATTTGTCAAATCTGTACACTTAACCTGGAAGGATGCATTTCTGAAATGAAAAAACCTGAGAAAATACCTCAGGTTAAATCAAAATTTGTACACACAGCCTCCACACACCATTTACTGCCCCCTCTGAAGCCAGCAGTCTGCTAGTGCAGAAGTTATTGATCTCTCCTGTATCAGAAAATATTCTCAAAGCTTTCCCTGTTTATGGTAAGAACTAGCGATGAAATAGGATGGCAAATGCAGGCATGGAAAGGCCACACAAGTCAGAGCAAATCGAGCCTGCATTTACCCAAAGGCTTGTGAAGGAACTCCCTCTGACAAAACATAGAGACTGGTCCTTCACCATTAATCTCTACAAGACAACCCCCCAGATCAGATCATATTAGCTTTGTTGACTTGAGGTTTTGTGCATTTAGCCCCACAGATACATTCCATTGATTTCGGTGATGTTTAAGTATGCTTTCTTGAATTGAGACCTCTTCCCCTCCTAGTTACAAGAAGTACCCTACATATAACTTTTACCACTATAAGTTTTTGGCTTTACATGGTTTCATATAAGAACTGCCAAATAAGAGAGGCACTGGTGCCTGTTGACATTAAGCAGATACAGGTACATTCTCCACTTGGAATTTAGCTGTCTTGCAGAGACCTACACTGCCCAAGAATGTTTTTTACTCTCTGCAAAGACCACTCAGCAAAACTCAGCTGTTCAATTGGTAAGCACTGGTATGTTTTCTTTTTTTCTGCTGCTTTATTCTTTATATAGTCTAGGATTTCTGGATGTTATGGTTGCCAAGATAACCTTGAGAACAGAGCAATAGCAGAACTAATGTAATAACATCTGTTTGAGATGCAGTGTGAAAAATCAGCTCAGAGGTATTAGCTGCCTTATTCAGACACAAATGCTAACCATGATGACATTTTAAGAGCCACTCACCAAAGCACGCAGGGCAGAAATAGAAGCCTACTACAAATATCTGGACAATTAGTCAGGAGAGACAACTCATTTTGCAACGTAAACTGGGACTAGGAGAAAACATTACTTTACTTGACTCCCAAATTAATCAAAAGTAGCTACATCCACAAGAACTCAAGGAAAGAGTTCAGCTCTTCTCCAACTGTAGTTAAACTCAAGAAGATTAGTGTGCAATTGAGCAATGCGACATAATTATCAGAGGACACATTTGTTTTGAAACTTAAGAAGTTAAATATAAGGCTTCCCAAACTTGCTTGTTTATATACTGAAATCTCATGTGAGCAGCATTCTTACCAATACAGCTTGAAAAAACACTGGTAAGTCTTCCTGTTCCACCATAACCTCTGCTGGTGGGAGAGTGATAAGGAAATGCATTAGGACACGGCTATAACAATGATTCTTCTTTCTCAGACTCACATATTATCTCTCCTCCTGCTTCAAGGCAAGAAGGATAGTTTTACTCAGCATCTATTCTTGAGAAAATGCTACACTGGAACAATCAAGGTAGGACAAGGAGACAGTGTCAATCACTCCTACATAACGTAAATACTTTATCTTGGCCTTATGCTGGGGCTCAGTCAAAAAATTTTTTATCAAAAACCATGAGCTCTCACTGTATGGAAGCTAAAATTCAAGCACGGACAAGATCCTAGAGAATTACTTCTGAATAGTGAAGGGACATTTTTCCCCAGCATTATTATCTTTCTATCATCCTTCTCTAAGCAAATGCAACTTTGGCATTCCTCCTGCAGATCTGTTCTAGGTCCACACTTGCTAGATGCGCATCTATCTGACCCCATCAGCTCCAGACCTAACAGTAGCCCACTTCAAGCTGAGCAGAAAAATCCACTATGTTACACAGTAAAAATGTGTCATAGTTTCTCAAAATTAGCTAAAGTTGACTATCCGCACACCATTAGCATTCAGATATAAGAACTGCATTAGAATCAGATATATTCCCCCCCCAGGCAACCTGATCTAGCTGTGGATGTCCCTGTTCACTGCAGGGGATTTGGACTAGATGGCCTTCAGAGTCCCTTCCAACTCTAAGGATTCTATGATATTAGGAAAACTACAGTAAATACAAGGGAAACAAGATTGCATATAGGCTCACTTAAAGAATACATGAGATTATTTAGAAAAAAATATGTTCTCAAAAAACATACTTCCACCTTTAAAAGCAGCAATGACCAATATGAAATAATCACCCTTTAGATTGGAAATTCAGCTCTTCCACAGGTCAAAAACCATCAGGAAATATACGTTGTGCCTTGTTATTGTTTATTTTGGAGAGTTACATAATAAAAGTATAATCTTAATTTTTGGAAATGAACAGCTGGTTTTATTTTTCCATAAGGAATTTGAATGTCAAAGAGCCAAACACAAGCGTTTTCCTTGGTGTTCTCACCATTCTAGTCTCAACTGTTTATCTAGAGCAATTCTTACAACTTATCCTTTATTTCCACTCCATCCATATAAATGAGGTAGCTCAGGGTAAAAGAAAACAAATCAACCAGAAACAAAGTCACCACACAATCCTCAAATCCTTCTTTAGGACTCAATTTAACTATAATGCCAATACGTTAGCAAGCAGCTCTTGGTCAGTGTCCTCTGACTACTGTTTAGTACATTAAGATAGAAAATTTCACCCTTGTACTGGTTATTTTCTGCCAACCTCCATACTTACACTTCCCCCACTTGTGTTTTATGCTTCTACCTTGAAAATGTTTTAGGTCAAAGCACAGATAAGATAACGTTGGTTTCTGTCTTGGGCTCCAAAATACTATGGCAACAAGAACAAATAACTGACAAGGATGGGATCAAGACAGCCATGGAATCATGTATTTAGAATTCTAATTGAGAGATAAAGAGAGTTAGCAATAGCATACTTTTTTCCACAAGGGTATACACAAGTCAGCAAACTGAAGGACATGAAATGTTTGTATCACTGGTGTTTGGCTTGATGTAGGATGAAGAAAACTACAGTACTGAAAGCTACAACTAAGAGTTCCTTCCAGAAAACAACCTAAGGCCCTAGCAAAGATGCACATGAAATAGAAGGCACCTAGCAATACAAGACACACCTAAAACACACAGATGTAATTCAGAGGCTTGGAAAGACCAGCACAAGTAGCCACACTCAGTAGGTAAAATGATGCTCCCTGTCATTCGGAAACAAAGAAAAAGAAGATTCTATTACTCATGTACTGAAAGAGGTGAAATGCGGTTCTTGTACACAACACTGACAAAGTGTTTTCTACTGGGGAAAAAAAAAGGAGATTCTTGTTATAGAGGGACAATAAGAATTCTGGTAGCTATGTGAGACCCCTGACCCAGTCACCAGTGGGAAATTACCTTATAATCAAGCACATACTTCTTAGGCTGGGAATGACTGTTTTTAACATATAAAAATAAAGCCAATGTAGATGATTTCAGAAGCTGTATTTGTCTCTGATCAATGGTAATGCTGCTTAAAAAAGCTGAGCGTGAGAAAAAACAAAAGCAAATGAACATTAAAACTATAGCAGGTAACATTCTATCAGTGTATTTAAAAAGTTGGGAATAGCAAAGTAAGCCATAAACACATTTTGGTACTGCTTTGTGAAACTGTGACAGCAGAGTTGAAGAAACAAGTTCTTCTTAAGACTTGTTTGCTAAGCAGAAGAAATAGGAAAGTCTAAACCACAGACTAGATATAGAAATACAAAAAACACGCATTTGGTTAAAAACCCATTCTGTCCAGCCAGATGCAAGGCCAGAGTCTGTGCCAAGCACCTTATTCTAATCTTACCAAAGTAAACTATAAAGAAAAGCATAGGAAGGCATTCTTTCTTAAAGATACCTTAATTATCTAATGAACCAAAGTGTTTATGAAGTCATAAAGTTATCCTTTGTGGCAGCATGAGTATATGTTTGCAAATATATCTTTTAACATATGCCTTTTCTGTCACTGTTAGCATCCAGTTTTACCCAAATTACAACCTTAAGTTATAAATATAGAAGCAAAGGAAGGCAACTATCCTGTAGTAAAAAGGATCAGAAATTTTCATTTCTAAAGGTTCCCTTGTTTCATGTTAAAAGAAGGATCTATATCACTGTGCAAGATAAGCCTTCCTATTTTCTATAGAGCTGATAGAGTTTTTAAGAATATTTCCAAAACACACAGAAAACATTAGAAAGTAATAACCATCTTTTTCCAAGAAGAAAATTTTCCAGAAAAACCCAAAGAAATAAACATTAATATTAGCTTAGAGATGCTTACAAAGGCAACAAGCCAACACTGAATTCTGGGATACAGTAATTAGGTTTGGTTCCATACATCTAATGGGTCTTCAGATCCCATATTCATTCCATAGAAATGAATTAAGTTCAAATAAAAGTTAAATAAAAGATAGTAAGGTGGTGGTTCAAGGTAGGAGGTTTCCTGTCATTTGCTATTTAATAAAGCACTCCAAATGGCAAAGACCTCTCTTTACTTGACCATTAATTACTGCCTCACCTTCAGCAGAATGAGAGGTATCCAGTTTCATCCAGTAACATCTCTACGCAGCATTGTCCATAAGTCTTAAGATAACAGCATGCTATGAGGAGGAAGGCAACTACTCCCACTCCTAGAGGTACAGAAAAATATATCATAAAAGCATACCAAACCCAAGTAGGTCTTTCCACATCACTAATGAAAATTTTACTTTGAAAATACTCATTTTGTTAGAAAACCAATACAAAAAGAATATTTTCATTGAGGTTCCCTGCCCCGCACTGAATATGAATCTGCTTCAGCAGTAATCTGAAGGAAAAAGGGTACCTATAAAAAGTTACATTTGCACCTCAGAGAAGGCTCAAAGGAGATGAGATCTAATTCATGGTGAAACAGAGCATTGTGCAGTCCATAGGAAGCAACAATATTACAAAGAATCCATAACCATTTATAATTTTTTAGTTTTGACACAAAAGCCTTCCTCTCTCTACCTGTCCCACATTCAATTTCTGTGAAATCAGTAGAAATTTATTTTTAAGTAATTTTTTTGCACTGTAGCTAAGTCTGTGCTTTCCTCTCAATTTTACAGGAAAAACAGGCAGACTGCTAGACAGCATATTTTCAAGAGCTGGCAAACATATCCTAAATTCCTAACTCAATTACATAAATTAGTGATATATATATTGCCAGTCAACTATTTAAAAGAAAACATGTATTTCCAAATCTGAAAAATTTCACAGCAACACAGTTTGTAACTGATACTAAGAGTAATGAGTATTTCTTCTTTGTGAGCTCTATAATGACATTAATATGTTTTACTCCACTCTTTTATCATTGTTTTAGGCTGCTCAGTAAATTTGTGCTCTTGTGTTCTCTTTTTCTCAGCAGAAAGTGCAACTTATTCATGTATTTAAGGGTATTTTACTTTTACAGCAAGATTTTCACCATTTTCCTCAAGAACTCCACCAGGTGTTTCAATGTAACGATGAAATTTTTGCCTCACTGACAAATAAATGAGAGCCAGTAGATAAAAGGTACGTGAGCTTTCTGACTGGCTCAGATTTTCTTGGTAATTAGTGGACTAGAGTGAAGCTCTTTTGGGGATTTGGGGCACCTCACTGCCTACAGTTGGCAAGAAAAAGAAAACAAATAGAATAAGACAGGAGAGTAATCAAACCGGTACAGGATAGATGGATAAATGAAAAGACTACAAGCTAGCTTTAACATTCAGATGGCATCTGGGCCTCAAGGCACCAGTGGCAACAGCTTTCAGGATGCATACAGTAGAACACATGACTTTGCCTTGAGAGCCCTCTGCCTGTCAGAAAGTATCCCACCACTTGCTAAAGCAAACAGCTTTGTTTTACAACAGATTCCTCCTGCTCGGTACCCTCAGGTAAATCACAGGACTCCAAACTAGAAAGCTTATTTAGGGGTTGATGCCCAGAGTCTACCTTGTTTTTACCTCACATGCCAGATTCAATTAAGATAATTGCATCTAAGTAGCATTTAGAAAATACTGTTCCTACCCTATCTTTCTAGCAGCTCTGTAATAGAGAATATCTAAGCCAGAAACCCTGGTCTGAATCCATGACTCTTTGCCATCGGTGTCATCCGGTTCCTTTGCTGTCCATTTGGTGTCAGGGCAGATGCCCTTTGGCACAGAATCCTCCTATAGTTAGCTTCCCATCACCAAGTGGTTAACTAAAAGTGAGAGAGAAGGGATTCTGACATTTCCTTAATTTTCCCACGCAAGAGAGCAATTTTACATCATGTCTTTGCAGAGCAGATGCTGCTTCCCATAACTTTGGAATAATGCTTTTTGCATAGAAAGAACAGCTGATCCAGTTTTGTCTCAGACTTTCAAAAAGGATAAGGGAGACTGAAAACTAGATGGTTTTAATGCCTTGCTTTATGTTCTTCTGACACAACTTCTGATTGGGCTTCCCTTGAGGTGCTTTTTGCTGGTATTTGTTTGTTTTTGAAGTTCCTGGATCACAAACACGTTGAGGTTTCAGAAATGAAAAACAAAAGGATGAATGCACAAGAAATAAAAAAAAGAAACAAAAACTGAAGGTTTACATTTAACAAAAGTGCCAGAAACATCAAATTTTCATTTTTAAGTTTCTTTGCGATACACCAGAGTACCTTGTCTACACAGTCAACAGTCTATCCAGCATTAGCAGCTAGTGTAGTATCATTAAGGCTAGCTCTGGAGAGTTCAGTGGAGTAGGCAGCAAAAAGAAATTCAGATATTAAACAAATTTTGTGGAATGTGAGGAACAAGATGTACATGACTTTCCTCAATGGTAACATACTGCGCTTGCTTGCTAAGAAGGTACACTTGACCAACAGCAACATGATGCTTTTAGCCCTCAAACTGAATTAAAATTACTAAGGAGAGTATTTCCCCCACACATGCTGGTTTTTAACATTAAGGTTATAAACATCTAAATGCTCATGTTCTCTATGCTGCTGCAAGAAAGTATTCATCCACAGTGCCTTCACAACAGGACTGGACTTTCCTGACAGGAAGGCAGCATTGGCAGCACTGCCAAATCAGTTATTTGCACCCAAATGGTAAGTAGATTAGCAAAATGAGCAAAGATCTGTATAGGAAGAGTGAACAGATAAGCCGTACCCTCAGTAAAGCAGACTACCCTAACACACTCATGTAAAAAGGCCACATCCCTTATTTATAATGCCAAAACTGGGAACAAATGAAGCTCTCATTAAACCCAATAACACAGACTTGCTGGGGGCGCAGACACACTTGCAACCTCTGAAGAAAACTGAGTATATGCACACATTAGTTGTGTGACTTCCTCCTTCAAGGCAGGAGGTCTTCTTACTTGGTCTTCCTTGACCAGGTAAGAACTTTTACGAATTTGAACAAATGTTTTACATGCCTATACTGCCTTCCACACAACGATCTCAAAGAACTTTGAACATACTACATAGGTCCCACCCCCCTTGTGAGGTAGGTATTATCCCTGTTATTTACAGATGGGGAAATTCAGGCACGGAGAGGTTACATTATTTGCCCAAGGTCACACAGTGAGTCAGTGACTAAAGAAGACAGAATCCAGATGTTCTGATTCCTATTTGCACAATCCAACTACTAACAACACAGGCCTCAATTTCAAAAGAGCCTTGAACAAGTAGCAGCGTGCACAGGAACCATCTCGGGTTTACAGGGCCACTCCTAAAAAGCACGAGAAAGGCAGAAAAACAGGAAGAAGAATGAAGGGACATAACTTAGATCTGCAAGCCAACACACAGCTTTAAAGAAAGAGTTCCTGTCCATTTCCCTCCCAAAGCTGAGGCAACTCAACTATGAGTCTGTGATACAGGGGGAGAAAAAAAGAGGCTAATGGAACCACAGCTAGAAACAAAATAACAGGCTGAAGTAAGTAGTCATACACCCCATTCGCTATTTTGAAAGCAAAGTGTCATGGGAAAATAGGGCTGAGAGAGACCTCAAAAGATCATTGAAGCTCACTTACCCCTGCCTTGAAGCCAGGACCAACTACACCTACTCATTCCCAACAACCCAGTCTCTTCTCCAAGACCTCCACCAATGGAGATGCCATGGCCTTCCTCAGCAATCTGTTCCACCTTACACTAGGACACGAACAAAACAGGGCAAGCAAGTGTAAGACTGCTACTTCTGCTCCTTCAGTGGGGGCACCATGATTCCCAGGCCTATCTAATGACACATTTCAGAGAAGATAGTCTCCAGATATTTACTTGTTTCTTTCCTGGAATTCTTGGGAAAAATAAATACTGGCGTCTGCTGCATTATAGCATTCGAGTTTTGAAAATACTGATGAATACCAGGATAGATACTTACTGCAAGTGCCAAATCCTACAAGGTCAGTAACAAAGACTTTGATATGATAATTTTAGCTTACTGCAGATACAAACTGCAATAAGGTGACAGGGAAGACTACAGAAAAACCCCACAGCAAAGTCAGCAGCTCTGAGTTGCCAAATTACACCCAACTGCAGACAACAATCAGGCAGTTGAACAACACCTTCAGCAGAGGCAGCACCATACGATCTCCGTATCATCTAACTCATCTGTCTTCAAAGTGCATTCTCAGTGCAAAAAGTAGAATTGAATTTAGAGGGGCTTACTGTCCCGAGTGAATTTCATACTAAGACCAGAATTCTTGCTTGAGTTCATATGCTGTAGCTTTGTGTGTGTTAAGTTCACTTCTGCATAGCGGAATGGTGCTGTCTTGGCTCTGTCCCTCAGCATCTATGTCCAACAGTGTCCGCTCCTCTACAGGATGACTCCCCTGGAAAGGAAGCAGTGCAGGAAGTCCAGGTCTCTCTTCTACAGTGCTGCTGCTACTAGCAAAACAAGAGTCCAGATTGCTTGGAGTATCAGTACTTGAACTGTTGGCAGATGATTCACCCTTGGCATTGCTGGGTGACACAAACCACCAGGGATCAAGCCGCTGCCGGCTGGCTGCGGGCCGAGGCCGAGGCAGGAACTCCAGCGTCTTGGGTCTTTCCAGCGTGGGGTCCTGCTGTGCATTCCATCGTCTCGGGGTTGGAGGAAAAACAAGGTTGGGATCTGGCAGGCGAGGGACCTCATTTGGATCTCTACTTGGACTAGGTGTTTTTAATACACCTATCCAAAACAGAATGTGAAAGAAGAGGGAAACATGTTAGATGTCACTTCTAAAAGGTTCCGACAAATCTTATTGTACGTACACTGCGAAAACATTTTCAAAGCAGAAAGCCTCCATTCAGAACCTACAATCTCCACATCTTCAAGACTGAAGAGAATAACTGGTTTCTTTATTCCTATATTGTTCTCAACACATTGTGAAACACCTGATTCACTTGCCTGGCACAGGCAGAGTATTTTGTTCATTCTCTGATTTGTTTTCTTCATTCTCAGACTGCACAGCATGGATTTGACCTCCTATCAGAGGTAAGAACTCTCCAAATCCTTTGGAAGGCACATTATCCATTAACAGCTTGAATGGATCGGGGAGACACTTGCACAGCAGGATGTGTGACACCTGTTTGCAGTGAGTTAGACCAACTCCCTAGAAGAGTCATTTAACAAAATCTAATGTAGACACTTTGTTTTTCTTGTTTGGTTGTTTTTAAAATAGAACAAAACTTCTCGTGAATATTTTAATGACTATTAACCCGCATCTTACTGTAGACTTCCATTCAACAGACAACCTCATATTTCATTTAGTCTAGCTAAACCAGACTTAATTTTCACATTCTAGTCTTTTCTTTGCTTGTGAATTACTAGGGGGGGAAAAAAAAAGCATTAAGTTGTCTAGTCACAGCCACTCCTAAAGACTGTAACAATGAGAACATTACCTACCAAGGAAAAACCCTCTGGTTTGTGAAGGAATAAGAGCAAGAGCAGCAGAGGCCCCACACTGCTTTAGAGATCCAGTCTTCACTGCCTTAAAGATTATAATTTGCTTTGAAGTTGTAACAGCAATACAAACAAGTGTATAAAGGCAACAGAGATGGAATTCTGAGAAACTATTAAAAATGAACAGTATTTGTACCTTGATACAATAACATGGCTCTGCTTTACAACATGATGCAGAGAGTTCCTTGGTGTGTAGTGATGGAATAGAGACTATTACTGTATTATTCCAGTCATTATTTTTGTAAAGACACGAGCCCTGCCTGTGGGCTGGCAACAGATGCTGTATATGCAATATCTTTACTTCCTAACAAGTATCTATACTGTTTGGGCCCTTCTTCTGAAGAAGAAAAGGAAGATGGCTGAAAACCTACCTGCTCCCAGTGCTCCAGTTAAACAGCTACTGGAAGGGCATCCACTGGTTGGGCACCCATTGACAACTAGTCCAGTCCCTTTGATGGCCCCATCAGAAGGTGTGCGCCTGTGCCCGCCTTGCTGGGTGTGGGAAGAGACCGTCACATGCGTGGGAGTGAGGGACTGGTTGGGGTCTTGTTTGAATCTCTCAATCTGGACATTAACTAGTGGGTTATTAATGGCTGGCAAGGGAGCCTTGACTGTCACAGGGCTGACAGGCATTTCGTATACCACAATCTCATCACTGTCTGAGCGCAGCAGGGATCGGGTGGAATTACATTCGGAAATGGAAGACAGGGAAAGAAGGGTGAGGGATGTGGATGGCTCGCCAAGCAACAACATGGGCTCATCTTTCTTGAAGATTTTTCGAGAAGGAGGGCTAGTGCTCCTGCGTGGGCGTCCAGCTCGCTGGAAAATGCTGTCACGTTTTTTCTTCTCTTCCTTGGGTGGCTCTGGCTCCTCTTCAATCAGTAGCTGACACTTCCCCGCTTCTAGCAGATCGAACCCCAGGCCTGCAGCAGCCAGAACCGCTCCACAGCCAAGCAAGGCAATCTCACACCGTTTGTGGTGGGAGCCACTACGTTTGAGGCTGTTGGTGGGTGTAAGCTGTGGGGTGCTTGTAGCAGAGTTCACAGGAGTGGATTCATCATTGGCATCACTAGAAGGCCCATCCCAGTCATCATTCTTCTGAAATGGGATGCAGAGGTATGACTGGTTGTGCCCAGGTGAAGGGTGCACTTTGCCCTCCCCATTAAGACATTCACTGTCTTCATCATCTGGAAAGCAAATGAAAAGAAGTACTTTGCATGGATGCAAGACTGGCTAATTTCACTGTTTTACAAATATACATGAGAGTTAAGCTTCTTCTCAGAAGATGCAACCATCCTACTCATTACAAGCACTGTTTACCAATTGCCAAATGCTCACAAGCTACTGACCTCAAAACAGACAGCTTGAGACAAGTACCTGAAAACACCACCAAAGAAGTTACTGACATATTGATTTTTTCATGAACCATTAAGGAAACAGCATACCAGAAGTGATATATACTCCATTTACCTCCAAAGTTTGTACGTATGGGAGTGATGAGTGAAAAGGTAGGAAAATGATAAGAATCTCTCCTTGGCAAGTAATGGTGTAACCATACTGCTCATCTAAATATTAACAGGAAAGGAGTTGAAAGGAATTGAAAGCATGGAAAGAAGAGGGGAATTAGGAGAAGCTTGCTAGCTTAAAAGAATAAACAAAAAAATAAAATCCAAAATGTGAAGGTACTTATTTCACTAAGAATAAAGTAAAAGCAGACACCAAAATGAAAACATTGCTGTAAGGTGAAGACAAGGAAAAGTTCATTCAATTGTGAATGGAAGCAGAATATCAAAGCGGAATACCAAACAAGAGAATATCAAGTCCAGGTAATTCCTTTACCCATCTCTGCTAAGCTGGTGAATCCTGGAAAAGCAGGTGCAGTTCTCTGAATCTTCCCTAGGTTTGGTGCACTGGATGACCACTGTTTGTATCCTTCTACCAGAGCTTTCAGACTGAAATAATAGAAAGAATAAGATGTAGAGTGCTGACAAAAAACAAATTCCTCCCTTCTATGTTCTCCATTGCTCTATTTAGGGTATGTACTAATCCATCTTAATTACATAGATTTACGATCCTCTGCTAGCGAGATATTTTACAACATTTCCCTCATTTGTAATAATGTAACAGTCAAAAGATCTCTGATGATAAACAATAGCTATGAATGCATGGTAAAACAAAGTACTATGACAGATAGTAGATGAGACAGTTTCTTCTAAGGCAAACATGCCATGGCAAGTACAAAATAAAGTGCTCAGTAGGAGGAGGGGAAAAACAGCTCTAAAAACATTTCCATGTGAAATACAAGTGAAAAGTGAAAATCAAAAATCACTCAGTGGGAATACAGTATGTTGAAGTCATTATAACAACAGTCATGCTTCTATATTATAAGAATATATTACATTCCTCTAGAGAAAATATTGTTTTGAAGTACAAAAAGTTAAAAGCTACAGAAAAATGTGTAACAACACCATAGTTCATGTTATTCTTTTAGTTACAGACCAAAAATAGAAAAAACAAAAACCAAAGTAAATCCCTACATTAAAGTCATCTGAGTTTAAAGGCATCTTGCTTTGCACCTAAGTTTCTCAGTAGTCCCTGTTAATAGATATTCACTGTCATCATCCTATATGCATTCTGCACCACTTTCACAATATCAGAAACAACAACAGTAAGTTGCACAATTTTGATGCCTCAACAAGCCGACTGGATTTATTTTTCAGTCATCAGTGGTCTCCAAACTGATAGTTTTGTGGTGTCCTTCTACGAACTCCAACATTAAACCCATCAATACTGGTGAAAAGCTTAAAAGCACTTACTCAGAAAACTGAATGAAAGGAGACAACATCTATGGATGGTCTGAATGATCTCAGATGAACATACAATAGCATCTATCTGTTATTGGAAGAATTGAAGAGACGAGACCTCTTCCAGCAACATGACCAACTTGTGCTGTTCTTTGAGAAGACAGCTTACATATGCTCATATTCTCCCTTTTTTCCAAGGGAAGGATTGTAATCAAGTCCCTCTCCTTATTCTCATTTCTCACTTGAATCACTCTGCATTTGTAAGATTACTTTCATGGCAGGATTTCAAGGTCACATTATATCAAGGTGGTAAGGATTTTTTTTTTTGTCTTGGTATGTTTTTTCTTCTATTCTCAACCTAAATGGTATGCCCTGCTTGTTACAAGATTAGCTATATTTTTATGGCAAAGTCACAAGGTCTTAGCTTGATGTAGTACTTGTTCAGTTGGTTGAAGATCAACCTATACACATGACTTTTCAAATGCTCTTTCTATTCCCAACATTCAGGAATAGTTTCAGATCATACTAAAAGCACCTCATACAGCTCCCATCTATCTTCAGAGTTCATCATTTTCTCATCCTTAATCATTCTGTCTGAATCCTATTTGTCAAGAAAGACAACCACAAGATTTTACAAAATAAGCCCAATTTATTCCCTCCACACTACACTCAGCTATGAAATGAAATACAGCAGAGAATGCAAGTTGTATCTATATTATCTATGCGTACAACATATACAGTTAGGATAAACATCGTAAAGCAGACTCACATTAAGAGAAAAATAAACGATATTAGCAGAGTGATCACATCTAAGATTGCATCAACCCATAACACAGGCAGACAACTACTAAGGGAGCCTTCAGTGGGGCAGTGAAAACACTATCCTCTCTGCACAAAGAGAGCGATGACTACAGTCATATTGACAGGCAGCAGTGATCTTCAGTTTAGCCTTTACTTCATAGTCAAGTATATACAGCCTTGGAAAGTGCCTTTTATTATACAGGAGGGCACATAAACTTCTCAGAAAAATCTTCCCTTGCCAAAACCAGACAGATTTGTTTCTACTTACATAGGATAGTTTAATCTGAACAGAAATACAAATAGCTATCAGAATAATTTTGCGACTTACTAACTTTCTTTTTAAGTTACAAAATCCATATTTTTCCCCTTTGTTTTTGTTCCTCCTCTCCCCGAAATTATAAGCAACACTACCAGGAGATTCGGAAGATCTTGCAGAGGATATTCCTGAGAATACACTGTAAGATCACAATTGAATTTTCACAGTGCTATTCCAGCATAAAGCTTTATCCAGTCTCAGTAATTCAGCGTAGCAACCTTCTGCTGCTCTGTGTATTTCTTAGGCTCAAACATAAATGCAGAAGGTTGAATAACAAGTAATCTCCACAGGATTAAGTTAATTATAGGTTTACTCACATTAGAGATTTTCATAGCAATTCCTATAATGCAATTCTTGCATAAAAACCTGATAACGTCCTATGGAAAATACATGAAAAGTGATGAAAAAGATGAATATTCATGTTGGCTTGGCCACAGAGCTGTATAAGCATATGGAATAGTAGCACTGCTGCTACCCAAATAGTGTCATGGTGAAAGCTTAAACTGGACTTCTCTGTGCTAAGTCCAGCTCTTCACTTAAATCTAATATTTTATCCCCCCATCCTCCCAAATTAGAATTAGACAAAAAAAAAAAAAGAACTAAAAAGAGCAAGTACTCTATCATCTGAAGCACTAATTTTTACTGCAGTCCTGTTCTATTTAAATCTGCAGTCTGATATGATCTTTTTGGTATCTAACAGTCCGTAAGAAAGAAGGCAACAGACTCTTCAGCAGGGTCTGTTGAGATAAGACAAGGGAAAATGGTTTCAAACTAAAAGAGGAGAAATTTAAATTAGATATAAGGAAGAAGTTCTTTAAAATACAGGTTGTGAAACACAGGCACCAGTTGCCCAGAGAGGTGGTGGATGCCCCATCCTTGGAGACATTCAAGGTCAGGCTCGACAGAGCTCTGAGCACCCTGATCTCACTGTAGGTGTTCATGTTCATTGAAGGGGGGTTAGGCTAGATGGTCTCTAAGAGTCCCTTCCAACTCAAATGATTCTGGGACTCTATGGTCTCAGTAAGAAGCAGTTCATTAATGTTAACCACACTGACCTCTCAGCAATACTATCGCATTTCAAGTACTCTGCAAAATGCTGTCATCTTACTGTGAGCTATCACAGTTAGCAAGCAACTCTTTTTAGGAGTCCACGCTCAAAAGCAACTCAGTTCTTCAAACCAAGACGGAACAGGAAAAACAAAACAGAAAACAAAAAAAATCATCAGAAGAAGAGGCTTATTTCCAAAATTCTAAGCATTATTTCAAGGCAGAAGTGTTGTTCTACCAGCTTCAGCCATCTCCTTTTTTAAAAAAATAAAAAATAAAATAAAAAAAATCAATGACTGTAAAACAGTCAGTTTTAATTCTGAAAAATGCAATACTCCATCTATAGAACAGCAAGCTGAAGTAGCTTCCTCCATACTGCCCTGTTAAAACACGTGCTAAGAGTACCTTGGATGGAGAATGCAGCTTAGCGTTGCTGAATATCGAATACTTCAATCTAGGCCTTCCTGCACAGTATCATCGTGGTGACACAGTACATAAACATTTAATTGCCAGGAGTTCCATGCTCAAACACATAATATTAAATTATAATCATTGATCCTATTCTCCCTGCTAAAAAGTACAACTGAAGTCAAACTATCAATTTAGCAGTGGAAGTAGTTTTAGATTCCACTAAAAAACAACAGGTATTCAAACCTCTCAGTCTTAGACTTAAAATATTTCTATACTTCAAGTGAAAGTAAAAACTTGAAGTCACAAAACAAGAATCTATAGAAAAGGGCCAGGTACAACTTGCACCTGTGCTAAAAATCGCTCAAAATCTGCTAAAATTCACTCAAGGTATATGTGTACTTTTCAAAAGCTGGAAGAGAAGATATTTGCCTGGTTCCGTCAGAGGCTTTTTAAACAACAGCATGTAAAAGACTGAGAGAACATAGTTGAGAATTATAAAATAACTATTTTCAGTTGTAATATGAAACAGCGTGAAAAAAAGAAAGCTACAGAGAAAAGAACAGCTACAGAGAAACAGCTAAGAAGACATTCTGCTCAAAATAAAACTAAGGTAATAGCACACAGGAAAAGCATCAGGTCAGGCCTGGACCTCTAACAAGGAAATGAACACAACAGTTCTCTAATCTGTTTAGAATTTCTAAAGCTTTTGGTACAGCAAATATGTAAGCAGAAAAGTGCTTGCAAGAGGAAAGGCAAATCTCCTTGGAAACAGCTCATAACCAGTTTCAGAACACAGACATCAATCTAATTCCAGGTTCCCTCCTCTTACCTGTCCTCTCCTGCACCTAGCTCCTTGTGACAAAGTGAGCTTGGTCCCCAGGTGCGTCCTTTTTTCTTCTGGCCTCTTTTCTCTTCTTCCTCTCCTTCCTCCTTTGGAAGGACTGAGTTTCGTCCCCATGTTTTACTGCTTTCAGCAGGAGTCACTTCACAAGTAGGAAAAAATGTGAAAAATGGGAAAAAAGCCAATCAGGTACACACATGGGTCCCAATGCAATGTAAAGAACACAACCCAAAAGTATGTTACAATGAAAATGTTCATTCAGAGTTATTTCCCAAAATTCTTATCATGCATCAACATTGACCAAACAAATAGATCCCTTCAAAATGACTGCAGATAGGCTTTAGTTTAGTACTGTTTTCTCCTTCAGAAGAACTAGTTTGATATCAGAAACACAAGAATTGTGACATCCAATACAAACATTATACATTAACATTCCTTTCATACTTCTAATACACACTTATCTCTCTAATTCTGGGTTATTCGGGGAACCCATTTTAATGATAAGCACCCTTGGTTCTCTTTCTCCTCATCAGTAACTTAATCTACTTCAATAACATTTCACAAATCTACTCTGCAGACTAACATTCTAAACATTAGCCTATGAACCCAAAGAATATGTTCTCTGTACAATCAAGTAGCAATCTTTCAAGAGCATAGGTAAGGCTCCAACTAATACCAAACTCACCACCCTCCCAGCCAATTGTCAAAACATTATTTTTCTCTAAATTCATACATGCAAGGGCACAAAGCCAACATTTTAGGAACATTTCTTTTTACAGTCCTGTCCTAGATATGGAATCTTGGCATCTTACCACGCTGACAGACTGCACATTTCCCAAATTCAATACTACATTGAGCTCCTTACACTGTATGGCCCTGAGTCTGGGAATAATGGTAGGACTTGCAGGAGGGCTGGAGCAGCTACTGATCAAGCTCTTCCTTTTATCCATTGTTGGAGAAGCCTGCACAGTGAATTTATGCTGGAAATCTGTTTCCAAAAGAAAAAAAAAAAACAATGCAGAAGCAGAAAAACAGTTAAAATCCTTTTTTAATACAAGAAGAAAAAAAAGAAATAACTGTTGATGGTAACCTGTAATACGCGAAATTTTCAGGGTCTGTATGGAAAATGTTTTCAGCTAATTGCAATGGTTACTTCAGGACAAAGACGTGCCAACAAAGGAAAACACTAAGTGACTTCTCAGACTGCCAGTATTTAAGGTTTATTCAGGGTTACATTAGAAGTCACTTGAGTGCTGAATTAATACATGAAGTTGTGTAGTGCTACAGTATGAAAGCTTTCAACATATTTCTGATAATTTTTTGATTCTTGCCTCAAGAAATCTGATAGCTTATGGATTCATCTGCAGCATTATATAAAATATTCCCGGAGCAGGAACATTTGCTTAAAACAACCAAACAGAACAACGTCCTTTATTAAAATGATCTTTTTGAGCACTAATGTATTAAATTGCAACATTTTTACTATCAATCGTATACACTAACATCACAATCCCACTTCTTGTCTTTATAATTTGACCTGTTCCCTTTGAGGAATGCTAGCCACAAAAACATCAAGTTTAGTTCCTAGATGCCAAAGGTATGCTTTTTATAATTTAAAATGTGCAAGTATGAGCACAAAGAAGACACCAAAGCTACAGGTTTTCACCTACTCCTCCCATCTTGCCTGACACTGTTCATCTCACCAACCTGAAGGCAGGCTGATATTATTGCCATCTTTTAACTTGAGCCGACTCTTCTTGAACTTCCCCATGCGTTTCTTCACACGAGGCTTCTCCTGACACAGCTGGTGGATGATGATGTTGAGCTCCCTTTCCAGGATGTCAATCTCACGTTCTGCCAGCTCCTGTTCCCGCCTTCGGAGCAACTCCTCATGGTTCTTCTGTTCAACAGCAGCACGAGTCAGCTCTTCTTCCCATGTGCGAAGCTCCTGTAGGGGGATCAGAAAGGAGAAAGAAGAACAGCTACCTCGTGACCTGTGGGTTAAGGCTAACAAACCTATTCTGAAGGTACAGCAGCACTGACTTTTGTTCACAGCACAGCTAATGCCACTGTTGAAAGACTCAGCTGAACATCAATAAACCAAAAACAATGTTTAAAAAATTCTGTGATTGCCACTTGAGGCCCTTCAAATCAGTGTTAACATATAGACATTAAAAAAAAGTAAAGAAAAAATTTCTAATCAGCATTCATAAGACCACATCTGGAGTACTTTCTGTCTCCTTAATAAAAGAGAGACATAGACATATTGGAGAAAGGTCAGTGAAGGGCTACTGAAATGGTGAAAGAACTGAAGCATCCCTCCTATGAGGAAAGGCTGAGAGAGCTGGGACTGCTCAGCCCCATAGAAAAGAAGACTCTGGTGTTTCTTATCAATACATACAAATATTCAAGGGGAGGATGCAAAGATGACAGTACCAGATTGTTCTCAGTGTTCAGAGATAAGACAAGCAGCAGTGGACACAAACATAGAAGGTTGTCTGAACATTAGGAAGCTTCTTCAGACTGTGAGTGATGGAGCACTGGCACAGGCTGCCCAGAGAGGTTGCGGAATCTTCTTCCTTGGAGATCTCAAAAGCCACCTGGACATGGGCCTGGGCAACCTGCTCTGGGTGGCCCTGGTCAAGCACAGGTTGGAGTAAATGACTCCTGAAAACCCTGACAACTTCAACCACTCCATGATTCTGTGAAAAGACACTGAAACTTAAATACAGTGTCATGAGAAAAAAAAACACTGACACACACATCTTCAAAAGCCACTGGAGATTACCACATACATGGGAACTCATTTTGCAAGATTTATCATCCATATATTGAAAAAAATTAATCCTCGTTTTCCCATTCAGTAAAAGCATTTATTAACTTCAGAACTGTTTAAAAATAATCTTGCCAACTCATGCATCATAAAATAGCACAAAACCCAATTCTAACATAAAAATCAATTTAAAAAAATATCACAAAGGTCATTCCTGTCAGTTTTCACCAGATGTGGTTGCTTCTCAGGCATTAAAAAAAAAAGCATAATTCAAAGTCTTCTACTATTCATTTTGTCAACAAAAAAATGAAATTGTCTGTGAGATCTCAAAATCTTCTGTTCTTCTCACTTCACTCCCCTCACCAAAAGGAGGAAAGAAATCAGCACTCACAGTAACTATCTCCAACTGGCTGATTCCACCACAGAAAGTAAAAACTGAAGAGCCCAAATTGAACTTCATCTGATCAAATTCATTTTTATTGTTTTTATTTTTAATAATGTCATTGTTATCTGTGCCATTACCACAGAGGTTTGGTTCATTATACTCATGAGATGAATAGGATATCAAGCTTTCTTTCCTCGTTGCTATGGAGGAACACAGTGCTCAAAACGCGACAGCAGTCTAGCAACTACTGTTCTCTGTTGAAGTTTCTGGTTTTCAAGAGCTGTTCCAACAAACTTATGCCAACACACCACACACTGCAGCAGGGTAATGCCTATCAGCTTTTCCTTTTTTCCTCCAAAAGCTGCTATAGTACATGCACAGAAAATGTTTTATGAACCATCGTAGGACTTATCCCTGTTCACAAGATTATCCTCTCTTTTTCTCTGTCTTCTAAACCCAACTTCTGAGCCAAAATCAAGTTGGCTATTTATTATGAATTTACTTCTGTGTGAGAAGCAGTCAACTAAAAAAACGACTATTTCAGTGAATAACTGCAGTACTTCATACCAACATCTGTAATGTCTGTAAGGACCTTACAAAGATGTAGCAAACTGCTTTCTTTCTGGCAGTATGCTTGAAGAATAAGACTCCAATTCTTTTCACTTAACTGATGGTCACAGTTCTTTTTATTCCTGCTAGGGTCTTCATTCCCTGCTGTTTACCAGTTGTTGGATTATTCCCCTGGTAGTACTCATGTTTATTATATTTTATCCCCTTTGACTGCACCCACAGCCTTAAAGACACAAACCTGACAGAAATAAAGAAGAGATGTTTGCTGAAGTGTATAATCTGAAGCTCTCTCTCTTATTTTTAATGTTAACAATTATTGTTGAGCTTCTCAGTTACGACGTTGGCAGTGAAATAGTTACCAGATATATTAAACAAAGATCATTCAGCATAGGAATTTGCATAGTGTATAATGGACATTATGCTCACTACAATATTAGACCAGCAGCTAAAGATGCAGATGTTTATTTTACTTATGAATCTGCTCCAGCACGCATCATAACTCCCATTTACTCAAGGACTTACTAAAAGCTGAAGTAAAGCATGTGCAAAATTAATTCTGAGATGCCCTGAAAGATTATTCCTGAATAGGAAGTATTCTATCAAACAGAAGAACACAAGCAAGGACTGTTTTTCTCTACTTACCTTTTCTTTGGCTCTGAGCTGATCAAACATCTCTTGGATCTCTTGTTTCCAGTCTTCCTGAAGGGAATGGAAGGAATCTTTGGGCATTTCAAAGAAACCAGACTCTTCTATAGCAGTGAGATGGCCTAGGATACTGGCAAAGGAAGGTCGTGAGTGTGGGTCAGGGTTCCAACAATCTAGAACAGGACAAAGACAAGCAACTATTAAGGATCTCTTAGTAAGAAGGTTTGAGATGATGAGTGGTACTTTACTGATCCCCAGTGGCTGAGAATGGCACATGCACTGTGTTACCCTGTCTACCATTTCTCACTTTCATTGACTATTGTGTGATCTTAAATCAAGCGTGGAATTTTTAAACTATCATCTGTACTTTGTGAGCACATACAAGTATGATGCTTATACACAGTTCTTTTATCACATTTACACTGCAGAGCTACCAGCCATACTGTAGAAGGGTATCTATTAGAGCCCCTTCTAAAGCTAAGCTGAGTCATTATGAATCTCTTCCACAGAACAGAAAATCTCTCCTGCAAAGCAGCCTGGGTGTACTTGGGTTAAATACTGGGCACTTTGAGTGAAAACACAAGATCCAAGTAGATTATGACAACAGATAGTACATTTAGAGTTTTCTTATTTTAAAGGTTATTTTGTTTATTATTGTGAGAAATTTGTTTAATAAGACTTTTTTTTTCCCAATTGCTTTTATGAGAAACCACAGATAAGATTTTTCATTAAACAATCTAATGCACTGATTTAACCAACCACAGAGCTATACAGAATTTTAGGTACCCTTATTACCACAAAGGGCAATTCAACTCGTGATGGTATGAAAAGGTTCTTCCTCTTAAAGCGAGGGAAGCTGAACATTGAAAACAAATGGAAAAAGAAAACATGACAAAGTAACATCACGATCTATGAAATCAAGATCATGTTTTTAGAAGTTACTAAATGAAATAATTTGACTTAACAGTGCCTCTGAGTGTGAAATTATTACTCATTTGATCCTCTCTGACCTCACCATTATTTTAAGTCCTGCAGAAAACATCTTTTGCTCATTCTATATCTTCCAATACTGGCACTTACACAGGTTATTCTTCAACATGTATTTTTACTCTTTTTAGTACTGCAAGATTCCTGCATGTCAAACTTTGACAAGAACCAAACAGGAAATTTCACATTCTAACATTTCTCAAAGCAATGGACAACAGCCTTTTGTGTACAAGTGGAAGACACTAATATGTGGGTCTCTCTCAATACGCTCACACTATCATTGCTCAGAATGGTCACTATGTTTGAGACATAAATCGCCACATTAAGAAGCAAGAATAATATAAATGTTCAAAAGTTTCCTAGATTTTACTGTTGAGGAAAAAGAGAATTTCTAGTGATGTCCTAAAAAAGCATTCTCTTAGTCTGTTCTATGGATTGAGACACATCAAGGAGCATCTGTGATTAAAAAATAAATAAATAAAATTTCACAAAATCTGTGCAACTGCTGAGGCTTCTTTTTGCAGATCTTTTCTCTGCTTTGATTTTACTGTTACTGACATTTGGCATTTGGGAGCTTTGTTTTTGAAACTGCTGATACCAAGATGGTATTTAAGCATCTGATCAAGTTCCGGGAGGCATAAGCTGGAACACATTTGTCTTTGTGGATTTCAAATTGTTTCTCTTACCAAAACAGAGAATTAAGGATGTTAAAAGTGCTCTGAAGGTCCCCTGCTGCTGCTGACCAATTAGCAGCAATGGGTGATACAGTTGGACTGACAGTGGCATAATCTCTGCCCCCCTAGCACAAGTTTTAAGCATGGCAAAGCAAACATGACCCAAAGTAAAACAAAATGCTGTGGCCAGCCAAATGCATGAATGAGTGAGCAGGATAACTATGCAGGTGGCCCCTGGCTTTTTTTTTTTTTTTTCCCCCCGGCCTAGATCTGCCATTATTTGCACTAATGAGGACAGTTGAAACACACAAATCTTTTCTGTGAAAAGGTAAAGTTCAGCTTTGTTTTCTCACTGATGACCACCAGAGGAGTAATTCAAAAGCAAAAGCAGCACTAGGGAAACAAGAGTTCACAGAGATGGGAAACAGCCAGAAAAACAGTTCTGGTGAAGGGGCAGAAAGTAACTGTTCCTTTGTTCTCTTCTTCTCCCTGCACATGGAGAAGCCTAGCATTTCAGAGCCAAGGGTGCTTACCCCTGTGTTCCTGGGCTCAAGCACAGGCCATGTGCCTCTATCCAACTTTCCCAAGAGAAGGCATTATTTTTAATACTATCAGCAGATACACCACTTGCATTTAAGAAATTCAGGGTCCACTGTTTTAGGGAGCCACACCAAAACAAACCACAATGGCACAACACTGTGCTCTAAGTTTCATAAGCTGGTTTCAGTTGCAGTTTCCTGTTTAACTTCTTCCAATTTAACACACCTGCAACTCTGTCACTGTTTACTGTCCAGCATATCACCTCCTTTTTTATTTTTTTATTTTTTTTTAGCAAAACAATACATGAGATTTTCTACTTTAATTTAACTGAAGCCTATCATCTACAGAAAAGATAACTGAAAAAATATTCCAAGAGCAGAAATATCCACCAGAATCATTTTCTTGTATAAAAATTCCTTTTTGGGGGCTAAAAACACCTCTGAAGGCCACAAAACCTAAGTTCAGCATTCGATGTTTGTGACTTTATGATTCCAAATCAACCTGACAGTGGCCAGCAAGGTGTTCAAGCTATGATCTCCAAAACAAGTTGAAGGTTTTAAACTATATCAATATATGTCAAATTTTTGGAGTCAGTGCATTTCCACTAGAAAACAAGCTAGATGATGACAACAATAGCCCACATAGTAAAAAAATGGATGGGAATTTCACATACTACTGTTGTAACAGAATAATTGTTACAGCACATAAACAGCTATACTGAAGCCCCATAATAACTTGCAGCATTAAAAAATCCATCTGAATAATCTATGCTTTTAGGTATCAAAACCAACGCCAGGAGGCAATGGTAAACAGCACTCTAGGAACAGCATAAAATGTTCTAACCATACTCACACTAGAGCTGGCTTACCTTCCATTAGTTTGGCAAAAGGCTCTGGACATGTGGAAGGGATTGGAAGAGCAAGTTTATTCATGGCAACACCATAGGCTACTGCAAGACCATCAATTCCTCGGAACGGCACTTCCCCTGTTAGCAGCTCCCAAAGCAGCACTCCATAACTAACAGGAAAGGAAAGAGAAAAGAACGTAACTACTTGATTTTAATGCATCCTTAGTTAAGAAAGATGATAGCACATGAGCCTATCAGGCTGCCACTGGTACACTGAAGAATTTTAACCTTTTCTGGATAAGTTAATTGTGGCTGTCAAACTGGCAAAGTTCTTTATTTTACTTCATTTTTTAAAATATAATGAAAACAAAGTAACCCCAGTGTGTAAATTAAAATATTTTTGAAAGCATGCTTACATCTACGTTGACATTCAAAAATGCAAGATATCTTTGTTGATAAGTTTGGGAAATCTTTAAGGATATTGAACAGGTTCACTTGTAAAATCATTTTTTGTTCTTTTATCATCCATATATGTTACACATGAACTAGACAGATAACCTTTGGGAACTTCAAAATTAATATTTGACTACATTGCAATAGAGGAATGTAAAGAAAAAGCTTCCTATCAGAGCAAGAATGAGAACTGCTGAAATGTGAGGGGCAAATAAAGGTCACTTGAGGGGTATTTATTTGTAAAAAGCTGTGTATCAGCCTCCCTTTTCTCAACTGCTAACATTTCATCAAAAACTCCAGTGAAACTGTCACGTAGTAATCCAACAATCCTAACTTCTACATTCCTAATTCTGGATTTATGATATGAATATCAAGAAATATTAAGTAATATCAAGCAATAAAACCAGGATTTTTTCTTATTTGATAGCGATACTAATTAAAAGAGGACAGAGGTTGTTAAGTAACATAAGACAGCAGATTCTTCCTCTTGAATCCTGTGGTCAAAAAGGAAAGATCCATTGCTAACATACTGATCCCCTCATCAGTCAGTTTTAAACCCAACAACAGCACAGAAAATCTTCATACTCTCGCAGTTTCTAACTTTGCTTCGGTTTCAAAACAAAGTAAAAAAGACTTCTGTAAAAACCTAAAAAAAGCAATTCTATTATCTGAACATCCTCATTTGTTTACAACATCTGATTAAATTAATGACTAACCATGAATTATAATCATTTCTCTGACTAGTCCAAAACTGCACCTGAAGCAGTCAGGAGCCCTACCTTACATCTTTAAGTAACCTTTGTACAATGGCAAAATTCTTTTTCATATAAACACGGTAACTTCATTTTCTTGAGTTCAGGATACGATGCAGTAAACCATCCAAGTGAAACTGGACATTGTCAGTCAACAGCAATACATTAATTTTAAAAAAGTAAAGCTAACTCAGCATATCTCGTTTTATGTAGGTCACCCTTGAAGTTATGCCTCCTATTTATATCCACAGAGACTACTATAGGCACAAAGAACATAATCATACACTGTTTGAGTAAATTTTCAGCTATAAAACACTGTTTTTCAACATAGCCATCACTACTAACTATGCATTTTTGCCAGCAATAGACATTGCTTGCACTCTGTGCTTATAAAAATCTGCACCAGTGAAGATGACCCATTGTTTCGCAGCTGCTTTCATGGTGTCATTTCCTATCCATTCGCTCTGCATTTCCACGTAGCTTCCTTAAGAGATCCACCTTGACCGTCATGAAGTTGTGCAACCACTCTTTCTGTTGTTTTTAAAAAGAATTTCTCAATATTGTTGCTATTCTCCTTCAGATTAAAGCACTACTCTCCCAGACTTTGTTACTGCTCTTGCAAAGACATTAAGCCAAAGCATGTATTTTCTAACAACTGGCACACTGCGCTATCTTGAAGGCTGCCTAAGCACAGCTGAAGATCAAATGAGCTTTTCCTCCTAAAAGCTCCCTGAATAGCTGCCCTGTGAAACAGTAACCTTAGTAGCTAAAATATGCTTCATGGCTCAAAATGTCATTTGCTCTACTCATTTGGAAGTAATCATTTTTCATCACCACAACCTATTTTTCCCACCTCCCCATCCCACACCTACCAAGCCTTTTTCCTTGTAACCACAGTCACCCAAGTTGGAAACTTATTGATAACTTTTCCTATTTAAACGTGAGATTTCAGTTGCTAAGGATTCCATCTTTACTGCTAATAGTAGCCTACTTTTTAAAAACAAAAGATCATTTTTCCATCTACGCAACATTTTGAATTTTTTCCTACATAATTCACACTTTTGATATTGTAACGTCCCATCAACTATTTGTTTCCATCATAGTTTCTTTATTTCTTACTACAATAATAGCCTCACTTGAAAAATAGAAACAGGAGTTTAAAGACTTCAGATTTTCTTTTTGTCCTCCAAGGATGCATATAAGGCACACTGAAAAAAAATGAATACTGGACTGAATGAATACAGGACCTGTCCTGTTTAACTCCGACTGTTCACATATTCTTCAGATTTGAGAGCTTTGAGAGTTTTGATATCAAAAGTTAACTCTCCGGTAGTCTGTCCTATTACTTTACCACTTGTTCTGAATAAAGCAAGAATTAGATACTTCCCCTCATAGAGTTGTTAGGAAAATGCTACTGATGTGCTCAAAACATTTCTTATGCATATATATATATATATTTAAGATTAAATATAGATCTATCCATTTATTTTTTTAATATGACACAAGGCATACATATTGCAGGAAAGCACTGTTTGTTTCTTGGAGAACCTAACGGCATCCCATTAGAAGCTAACTTCTAGTCAGTGAGCTAACAAGCTGGTCTAGTCTAGCTAACTAGGCTGAGAATACTGCTTTCACATAACTATTGTCATCTTAACAAAAATCATCCCAAGTGACTAAGCAACAAGAGAGGGACTGCTGAGAAGAGTGTTCTCCATTCATTCTCTAGCAAAGGATGATAATGAATTATAAAGCAAAAGAACAGATTTCCGTGAAAAGGGCCTGGGAAGAAAGAATCAATGAGTTGCACTTATTCTCAACTGGGAGGAAAGCTCATTTATTTTTCTAGCATTCACTAGTAATTTTTGGACTTTAATTACAAAATGAACCATGTGATACACACCACGTGTTCAAGTCAACTGACACCTGTGTGAATAATTAACCATTTCCCAGTGATCCAGTAATCCCTTAAGCCATTTAACATCAGGTTCAATCTTACACATTGGATTCTGCAGGAGGAGGAGGCTGGAGGTCTGCAGGATTTCAGATGTGATTTTGCCACCTCCCTTGCCAATCTGTGAACTTTAAAAAAAACACTAAATTCCTCTCACTGTTATTGCACAATGGTAGTTCCACCATAGGTTCCTATTCTGCACTGTCCTTGGTGCAGCACCTTCTATAATAAAGCAACTATCAACACACCATGGAGACACCAGCAGCAACAGAAACTAGAATATTACTCCTGCTAGGACAAAAAAAAATTGAACTTCGTTAAATTTTTAATGGTAATTAACAGTACTTTTGCACATTATTCAACTGGCAGTTCCAGAGATTACACGTAGTTATTTCGCAACAGTCACGTATGATTTTCTCACATGAATTTCTAACAGTACTGTCAGTCAACTGTTATCCGCCAGGAACTGTTACCTTGCCAGTGCTTCATTCCACGCAGAAGTATACAGAAACCTGTATGAAAGTGCTTGCCAGCAATTGATTCAAATGAAGTATTCTAGTGACCAAAGTATCTACATCACTGAATGCATAACTTGATCTGCTAATCAGGTCTTTTTAGGTAGCTTTGGTATTCCGTCCCAAATAGAAATTCAATTCCTAATTATTTAACTAGTCTCAGAGTAGATAATTCTAAGATGAATCTGAATTAAGGAACCTTAGGAACTCAGATGAAGGCTGTAACGTTGTGCCATATCCTCCTCATATGACACTGATAACACTACTTTCTTTTAAGCTGCACAGGTTGAACATGAAGTTGGTAGTAAACAAAAAATTTTAATGGCATGGAAATTTGAATTTGATTCCTACAAACATCAGCTTGCTGTGCAGTATTGGATAAACTGTCATATCTGAACTTCATTTTCATCCCCGAGAATCCACTAGACTTACAGGTACTGTATGACATTTAAACAAAATGGTAGCTTTTGTCCTCTGTGCAACATAAGCACAAGGTTTCTGTTATACACCTAAAATTTATGGGTGCAGCACAGTAACTTTCATAGCAACAGACTATAACTAGCAAGATTTTCAAAGTGCCATTATAGTCAACAAGCTTTACAGTAGCCAAGACCATGGTGATAGTGGTGGTAGACACCAACACATGGGAGCATTCCTCTGCCTTCTCATGTTCCTTCCTAGCACTCCTGAAGATTGGGTATTGGTTTTGTTTCTTTTTTTTTTTTTTTTTTTTAAATAGAGTTTGATACATTACTGAAAGGAATTGTACAAATTTGTTATTTATGATGGAATAAAAGACTGACTCAGGAAATTTCAGTGTTGGCAAGCACCTTCTTCAGCAGCTACCCGCATTTGTGCAGAGGGAACACATACACAAGATTCTTGTTGGAAAGCTGGGCAACAATGCAGCCAGTAGTATTATTCTAACAAGCTTTTCAACAAAAGTGTTGAAATAAAAGGTTCTGTGATTGTTAGGGACAGAAATATTCCAGTTTTGTTGATGGTGCACAGACTAACTAGAAGATCTTTTATCAGTCAGAAAGCACCCTCAACACCAGTGATTAACCAAGTGGTTGAAGTGGACAAGAAGAGCAGCAAATCTAACAGGATTTTAAAATTTCATTCTGTTTATGATTTCAAGTTGTGTCCATGGATGGGGAAAGGATTTATAACATACGTGCACTGCTGCTTTCATAAAAATCAAGTGCTTAGTCGTTGACACAGTAGTAGTGACTATGCTGGCAAGCATCTACATAGATGCTGCAAACACCATGTTTTTTTCAGCTTATTTAAGTATGATTTGAGGTTTTGGCCATCTCAGACACAGGGCTTACCCAGAGACAATATATCATAGCACTTTCAGTGGTGATGACCCTGCTTAAGGAAAAGTATCGAGAGAAATTCCACCTGTTTTCAAGGAAAGACTGCTAACTATAAAGAAAAGTGATGAAAATTTTAGAAATTTACTTCTTAGAAGCTGAGAAATATTTATACATGATTTACAGTATAAGTCAGTCAATTACTAGACTGATATTTTTGCACAGATACAGAGGCTCTTAAATTACCCTCACAAAAAGACTAAACTGACCCTTGAAATTTCTTATTCTTTTTTTTTTTTTAATAAATGAGGCCATATTGAAGCAGAACATCTTGTGATCTGTTCAGTATGCACAAACTAGTAAAGTTACAGCTACAGAAGAATTGTTTCCAGCTTTCCTTCTTCCTTCCTCCCTCCTCCTGCCCTTAAAGGCAATTCCTGGCACTTTTTCAGAGGAGAAAATTACAAATCAGTACTGTCAGGTTTTTATTTCTGCCAGAATTCACTCAGAGCAAAAGCCTGGTTATTACACAGTTCCTCCCAGATTACTAATAGGGGTTTGCACATTTAATGATAGTCTTAAGTCAATCCATACCAATATGTGCAGAACAAACTCACATTTATGCATAAAAGGCAATACACTATCTATCTATTCTGCATAACTAGATAAGGAAAATTAGAACTCCACACCAAATATCTTCTGTAACAGCCACAAAATTCTTCCAGCTGGAATATTTCTTCATCCTGGCAGATTTCACAGCATACACATACTTTGTGGTAGCATTATGATTAATGAGATTTTTATGGCTCTAAAGACCTGGTCAATTCAACATTTCAATACCTCCGCCCCACACAGGAAAACAAAATTCTACCTACTTTGTTTCAGATGTCTAGTACTAATTATATGTCTCACAGTATCCAAAAAACTCATTATCCTAGGACAACAATGAGCTGTCTACTGAATTCTGGATTTAATTCACTTAAGAGACACAATCAAACTCTACTTTTTTCTATGGGCCAATCCTTGTTAAAGTAGCTCCTATCCACCAAAGTAGTTCCTATTCTCAAAAATCACAGTTCCTAAATGGAAAAGACAATGCACACAAATTACTACTTATTGATCACATACTCAGACTGACCTGCAGAAGAAATGTGTTGTTTTATGCAGAAAGAGTAGGAAGCTATAAATAATTCATAAGCTCATTATGAATGTGAAGAAACATTGCACTCAAGCCGAAACTGCAGGCAGAACTCAGCGAAGTACTGCGTGATTGTGTACATATGTATTGTGACAAATTACAATAAAAAATAAGTAACCTTAATCTTGGTAAAACATTAAAAAAAAAATCAGCAACTCTAAGTACTTCACAGCTCAATTTTATGTCTTTATGACAGCCAATAGTTAAATGGAGGCTATAAATCCTAGGATGATCTGAAGGTAAATGCAAGGAACAACAAAAATTTAGAAGCACACAGGAGGTGATCCACTTCTACAGGGAAAAAGCGTTCACAATTAATACCAAAGTAGTCTCAAAGTCAGGTTCATGGAAAGCCAGTGGACAGTTTTCTTAAGCCCAGAATTTTAATATTTGCTTCACCACTCATTCTCAAACAAAATACATTTCCTAGCAGGTTTTCAGTATCCAATTGCTTAATGCCAAGTCAATACCTCCACACATCGCTGCCTTTGGAGAACATGGAGGAGCGGATGACCTCAGGAGCCATCCAGGCATATGTCCCAGCTGCACTCATTTTGGTAGTTTTATGCCATTCCCTGGCCAAGCCGAAATCCGTGATCTTCAATATCTTGTTGCTCAGATCTCCATTTTCCACCTTTTCGAGTATCAGTACTGGAGAAAAGGGAAGGGAGGGGAATAAAAGGTATGCAAAGTAAGACTAGTATTTACATAAAAAAGGTCTTCCTGGAGATCTCTCAAAATTCAAGATTCTTCCTGACTTTTAGTTATTCAAATAACTCATCTTGTTACATGTTATTTCAAGCTAATCTTGTCATGTGATAAGTGAAAAATGGTCTAGCAAATAACTTCAAATCTAAATGGAATACCAAACCTCAAAGAACAAACAGAAAACTATTTAATACAGTAACTAGCGTTATTCTGTATATTTCTCTACTAAGAGGATGTGAACCACTGTAACTTCTAGAAATCCAGATAAGGGAAGACATTTCCTAATTAATCCTCTCTCAGCAAGCCAGTAATAGAATCGTTTTCTTGAACTGCTTAGAGGACTTTTTTTTTTTAATCCAGATACACACATAGGCTGGATATACACTTTGAGTAAATACATTAAAAGCACAAGCTCTACATATGCTTTTTTTAAATTTCTAACTAAAATAAAAGAACGGTGAACAGTAAAAACATGCCCAGATCAAAACTTCATCAGCTCTCCCCCCTCAAACTTCAGCGAGGAACAAAAGAACCACAAGACACAGAGGAACAGAAGTAACCTTAGTCCAGCCCTCATCTTCTTGCAGCTTACTTTTTCTATTATTATTTCTAGCAGCTGAAGAATTGTTAACAAATTCTCAGCAAGAGTGAACAACTTTCCTAAGTCTCATGCTCTAACTTTTTCTTCTGGCATGTACTGATTGCACCTAAATAACTGGCAGAATAATATAAATGAATTTTAAATTTAAAAGCAATAGAGATATGGTGACATTGTAAAAATAAAGAAAAGCTCTGAAGCAAACAAAGAAAACCATGGGTGTGGGGCATGTTTTCACTTCCATTCAGAAGCACAAGCAACAAGTGAATCTGCACTCCAAAGGCAGATCATACAGTGTGAGCCAGCTCAATAGCAGGACAAGGGGTCAAATATCACAGTTTGGCTGTACATACCTTCCTTGAAAGAGATTATCTAAATCTAATTACCTTTCTCTATCGTAGATCTAAGAAAATAATTAGTACTTACACAGACCTTTTGTATCCATAAACTGGTTCTTTTGTCAGATATAGGCTGTAAGATAAATTAACATAACAAAAGGCCACAGAGAAGGACAATAAAAGAGCTGCATTTACTTCAAGTCCTTAATTCCTTAGTTACATCTTTGGTTCCCCTCTTATTTCTCCATAATAATGAACTCTGCAACCAAAAATTGCATCACTTAATTTTGAGAATTATAGCTCTCTCTAGCATCTGAAACAGTTCTCCTCACCCCAGTCAGTACCAATAGGCTCACTTCTGGCTGTCAGGAATCTCCCTAGCCTATCTGTCAGATTTTCAAGCCCAAAGCCTCAACTCTCCCTCCTGTACTCATTCAGTTTTCAATGAAGTATCTTGTAAATAGGTGACATATCAATTCCTTTCAGTTTCCTCCTTAATCTCCTTTACAGTGAACACAAGCCAGGTTGCTAGGACACCACACACGCCATACTGATCTGCAAGAGTGAAATGCCTCTTTCTTGTGAGCTTGATACATAACCAGTTATTGCCTCCCATTTAAAACTTTTAATGCAAGTCCTCTTCTGCAAGTACCGTACCTTCTGCACTTATTAGAATCTAGCACAGATTGCAACACAGATAAGATACTCCCCACACTTGCAGCAGCTGCAGAGTTAACTTACCTACCTTGCCATCACCTGTGAATTGACTGCTGCCAGAAACAGTTATTTTTGATAAGTCAACAGAAACATCCAGAGAGCACATCTATACTAAAACCCCAGCTAACCTACCTGTTGATTAGCAGCAAATCACACCACGTTCGTTGCCTAAGTGTAGCAAAGCAAAGCATAGAGGTTTAAACCAAGTTGTAGCAACTTCAGGTGAGGGATATCTCATGGAACATGTACTGATAAGAATAATAACCCAGAAGCACTACATAAATTTCCATATATTCCTGAAATATTCCTTTGAACTTGTACTTCAGAAAATAAGTGCTTGTCAGGGAGGAATTCATTATAGCTCACATGAATCCTGCCCAGCAAGCCAGCCCTTCTATATCACAAGGTGTCCCAGTTGAGAGAACAAGAAAAGAATGGATCCAAATAGGCCCTGCTAGCTCCCAGCAACATCTGCCCTTGATGAGGCAGTCATGAAGACAAATGCACATCATCTAGGTAGGCCATTTGCACTACCAGGATTTTAGTAATAACTTCATTACAAGGACTAAAGAATCATTACTGCTTATGATTCAGTCCTGCTGTTTAACTTCTTGAGAGTCAGCAAAATGCTAGTCCTGAAAGACAACAGGCAACCACAACACTTCACAGCTGAGCTCAGACAGATGCAAATTAAATGCTGGGCCTCCTCTTATATAGGTAATGAAGGTAATGAAGACCAGACTTCTTTCCCAGAAATGAAAATTCCTGTTGAGATTCTCACATGCTCTTTAAGAATACCTTTTGTCCCTTATAAGAAGCACCAAGGATACCTTGACATCAGCCTCTTGTGAGAAAGTTGCCTGGCATATAGGGAAAAGTATGCATCACACAGAGGTGAGTTAGCTAATGAGTTAACATTTATTGGTTTGACAGTAGACAGACTAACAGGAAGAAAACTGTAAAGTGGAATAAATACAAAGACCATTTGACAGGACTCTGGTGCAGTATCTAGTTATTCTGTCTGACATGACAGCAAGTCAATGAACTATGTATTGCTAGAGCTAAGAAAACCTGTCTTTTACCATTTCCAGTACTTTTCATCATGCTTGCTCCATGGAACACTAGATAGTGCAGGATTAACAGCTAAAAGGACAGAGTTAAGACTGCTATTGGTCTAATGAGACCTTTAAGAACAGTTCTAAATGTGGAGTTTCATGTTAAAATATTAAAGTTTTACTAGCAACTCACGAATTTTCACTACCAGGCATAATATGGGGACTATATGTATCTAGGACTATTTTGTGTTCATACAGAAGTCACTGCACAGAAAATATCAAAACTTAAAGCTGCAAGTTTTCTTATTGAGCACTGCACTAGTTCAACACAACAATGGTTGGTTCTGACTAGACACCACAGAAGTGTGAACGGATTCTGAAGATACACAAATTAAAAACATACCAATTAAATGCTAGTCAGGTTTCAACTCTGCCATGAACACCAGAGAAAGGCGGAAGGCAAATGATGAACATTTTTGTAGAGATGAAGTTCTGTCTTGCAAACATGAAAAAGATGCACAACTCCCGTAGCTTCACATATTCAAAAGAGGGATTTTGTCACCTTCACATTCCATCCCTTCTCTGTCCCCACAGATGATAACAGTGAAAGTTGGCTTGAATGAAACAAACTCACATCATCCCAGACAGCAGTCTTCCCAGACTCCCACCATCACCTAAAGAGACAAAGTCACTCCAAAAATGGATTTGAAGCCTAAATCTAATATACATACCCAAATTACTCTCTAAGGAGACCTCTTATGACCAGAGGTACATCAGTGTCAAGTTTCACACTCAAACCATGTGAATCTCTCCTCAAGGGCTGCTGGAACATCAGAGAGCCATCTGGTGAAAGTCAACATACTCCTAGCTGCAAGATTTTGTCAGTTTTGTCAGTGCTCTGAAATTCTTTTAATTAAAGTTTCCAGAAATATATTGTTCTATTAGGAGGACAGCAAATCTAGATCAGAATGGTACTGTTGTTAAATTAGTCTTAAATAGAACTGTCCTTGGTACCACATAGGACAAAATAAATATTTTAACCTACACCCATAACATCAAAGAACTGGTGGGAAGTGGCTCTTCACTGTCACCTAATTTTGACCATAAGATGAAATATGGTAAAATATGGTTATAGTAAAATATGTCGTCTCTTCTTCTGATTTTTGGAAGTGCTGAACGAACTCACCTTCAATTATGCTAACGTTCATTATCACTTCAGAAACAGTGCTCCAGGAGATCTATTATAGAGTGATCACTCATAGTGAAAAATATCACATTTTTTGAAATGAAGGTAGAAAAATAAGGGTCTCCTGCACACTAAGAAAACAGAAAAATCCTGACTTGAGAGAAAACTCATTAAGACTGAACAAGTAAAGTAACATTCCCCTGTGCTGCCACAATAGTTAACCAAACTGACCAACACTCTTACATTCCATGACAAGTTCTATCAGCAACTTCCTGCTCCCCTCCCCAGTGCGTATTATTAAGAAACAGGAGAGAAATCAACAAACAGTTTCTTTCATGGTCCAGCTGACTTCAAATTATTTGCCTGTTCATGATGCTACTAAGCTGGGCACACAAAAATAAAAATTCTACTAGCTAATTATATGGGAACTAAGATAGCTCCCTTAGAGTCTTCTCAGCAAGCCCAGGACAAGGGTAAGCTTTCCATCCATTCTTCTTTAGCATGATAACCTGTTTAGCCTAACTTTCTTGTATATTTCTTAATTATAACATCCATATATTCATTTATTATACACTAGTGAACATCAAATCTGGTGGGAATGGCTGATGATCATTAAGTAAATGGAGGTTAAAAAAGAAATGAGGACTTGAGTATACAATGAGAATTAAAAACATACAGGAAGAAATAAGAAAGGAGGCTAAAAGACCAGGATCTCTACTCTGGGGATAGAGAGGACACCTGGGTTTGTTGTCTATGATACACTGTGATTATCACTGATTAAAAGGATGACTGATGGCCTCACATTTACACTTCCATATAGCTTTTATCCAATAAAGACAACACAATTTTAGTGACAGCATACTTGCCACTCTTAAATTCTACAACTCAGGCAGATAATGCAACAAGAGAATTATTAACTAGTGATAAAACAACACTAAGCTGTGTGACCCACTATTACATTTTGAAGTTATGTCTGTTAAGTCTTCATAGCTGTTGAAGAGATGCCTGCAATTAACAGTGCTGCTGACAGGTTTGAATTCTGTGCTGTA